TCAGTATGTTTCCAATAGACTTTACACCCCAGAAACGTGAGCGATCAAATGTTTCAACTCGTGTGCACCTAGAGAATGGTTTAGCCAATGAGCTAACCCCGAATGTCCCAAAAAAGAGATATGGCATTTAAACTGCCTAAATACCCCTAAAAATCCAGTAAACCGCCACGACATCTAAATTTGCTTAAGAAAGCTTAACAAAACCCTGAAGCCACTTGAGTTACTATTTAGTGTAGGATTGAGACAAGGCTGACGTTTCGATCCCGTTAAACCAGTCTCGGAGAAAGACTAAGGACTATACATGTAGTTAGCTCAAGGTAAGGACTTCTATTGAGTGTAGAAATGAGTCAAGGTTGCACCACAAACCCACCTTGATAGGGAACGAGGTATTATATGAGTAGGTTGTATGAGGGATGGCTACTATGTGTAGATGTCAACCTCCTTAAGAGGGGATAGGGGACTACATGAGTAGACCACATGAGGAGGCACTACTATGCACAAGCCACACCCACCTTGATAGGGGTCAGGGAACTTCGCAAATAGGCTATGGCAGGGAAGAAATTCCTAGGCCCTAAGAAAAGCTCGTGGTAACTTACTAGAAATAAAGAAGCAATGAGAGCCTATATCGGGGTAACTTACTAGGAATAAAAAAGCTATAATTCCTTGTGTTTGAACCTCGGGCAATTCCTTGTATTTTCATAGAATATCCTTGTGGTCACAAAAGTTACAAGTTGTATGACATACAATCTAAAAAATTCTTTATCAGTTGTGATATTAAATTTTGTGAAGATGATTTTCCTTTTTCATCAACTTCACAAACTTTGACAATAGCTCCTTCGACTCTCATTTTACCACGTAATGATCCATCCTACTCAAACATCCATTCTAGTCCTCCCTCACCTTCTATTCCTTCACCTACTACTTTGTCGTATCCTCCGTCTTCTATTTCTTTTCTAGATTCACCCACTAATTCTAATCCTATCCCACCTGATGCATCAGCTCCACTCCGACATTCTACTCGTAGCAAACAGCCTCCAACTTGGCATAATGATTATGAGATGTCTTCTAGAGCCAATCTTTTAACCTCTAGCTCAAATTCCAACACTGACACCAAGTATCCCCTTCATTATTACCTTTCATTCTCTCATTTTTCTCCTACTCAATGTGTTTTTCTAGCTCTTATTATAGCCCAAACAGAACCTAAAAACCTATGATGAGGCAGTTGGCAACCCTTTATGGCAGCAGGCTATGAATTATGAAATTGTAGCTTTAGAACGTAATCATACTTGGTCTCTCGTTCCTCTACCACCTGGCCATAAAGCTATTGGCTGTCATTGAGTGTACAAGATTAAATACAACTCTGATGGTTCTGTTGAACGTTATAAAGCTCGACTAGTAGCAAAGAGATACACTCAGGTTGAAGGTGTTGATTACAAAGAGACATTTTCTCCTACAAAGAAACTTACTACACTTTGTTGCTTACTAACTATTGTCGCTGCTAAAAAATGGTTCACTCATCAATTGGATGTTCAAAATGCTTTTCTCTATGGTATCTAGACGAGGAAGTCTATGTCTTTACCACCAGACATTCACCGACAGGGGGAGAATATAGTATGTCGGCTCCATAAATCTCTTTATGGTTTAAAACAGGCCTCTCGCAATTAGTTCTCCATATTCTCTACCACTATACAAAATGCAGGCTACACTCAGTCCAAAGCAGATTACTCCTTATTTATTAAGAGTAAAGGTACTTATTTCCCTGCAGCTCTTATCTATGTTGATGATATTCTGTTGACAGGCAATGCTATCAAAGAAATTCAACATCTCAAGACTAGTTTATTCGATAAATTCCTTATCAAAGATTTAGGGAATTTGAAATACTTCCTAGGCATCGAATTTTCTCGGTCTAGAAAATGAATTTTTATGTCTCAAAGGAAGTATGCTCTCGACATTCTTCAAGACATAGGTCTTACAGGAGCACATTCAGAAAAATTTCATATGGAGCAAAATTTGAAACTTTCTTTAACAGAAGGAGAAAAGTTGAATGATCCAAGTAAATACAGAAGGTTGATTGGCAGATTAATATATTTAACCATTACTAGGGCTGACATAGTGTATTCAGTTCGTATGCTTAGTCAATTTATGCATGAACCAACAAAACCACATTGGGAGGTAGCTCTTCGAGTTCTGAAATACATCAAAGGTACTCTTGGTCAAGGACTTCTACTACCATCTGAAAACAACCTAAGATTACAAGCATATTGCGATTCAAACTAGGATGGTTGTCGAACTTCCAGATGGTCTATTTCTGGGTTCTGCATTTTCCTTGGAAATTCAATTATTTCTTGGAAGTCTAAAGAACAAACCAATGTGTCCAGATCATCAGCAAAAGCCGAGTATCGAGCTATGAAAAATACTTGTTTAGAGTTAACTTGGTTAAGATACATTCTTCAAGACTTGAAAGTTCCACCGTTCGAACTAGCATTATTGTATTGTGATAATCAAGCAGCATTACACATAGCAGCCAATCCAGTTTTTTACGAACGTACGAAACACATTGAAATAGATTATCATATAGTTCGAGAAAGTTACAAGTTGAAATCATCAAACCGTGTTATGTTTCGACTAAAATGCAATTGATAGGTATTTTCACTAAAGCTTTGGGAAGACATCAATTTGGTTTTTTGAAAGACAAGTTGAGTGTGATTGACATATAATCTCCAACTTGAGGGGGAGTATTAAGATATAATATTTAGAGAATATATTATAATAATTAGTTATGAAATATATCTTATATATTCGTAAATCAGTTAATATTTTATTTTAGGATTTGATCAATAGTATATTTTATCTTATTCTCAAGATTAAGTTAGTTTATATTTTCCCTTATTGTTAGGTATTAGTAGGTAGCTTGTATCCTATTTAAAACGTTGTGAACATTAATGAACATTGCACTTTTCAATCCCACTTCTATTTCTCATTCTTAACGGTTTTCTTTGTGTTCCTCACCCTCTTTTCTTGCAGGTGGCTTCCTTGAGGGTAGTAGACATTCGTGGGATCGTTTTGACGAAGTGGGAGCATTGGGTGGGTGTGATATCGAGCTAGGCGCGAGAATTCCGGCACCTAGCTAGAATTCTCATGCGTTTTCCAGCGATCGCGCAAATTTTTTTTCCCTGTCATTACATGAACGACTCAACTCTTAAAAAAATTTCTATTTTTTCTAGAAATAACTTGAACTTTTTTTTTTTGTCAAAAAAAAAAAGGTGAGGTTGGAGATGGTGTAATGCTTACCCTCAAATTATTTTAGCTCAAAAGAATTTAAATTAGCTAAAAAAATAACTATATATTAGACTTGAGTCGGATCAACCCGCATCAAAAGGGTCCAAAAGTATCAAACTCAAGTTAAATGGAATGGAAGTGGAGCTTAGTTTATAGGTCCAATCTAACATAAAAAAATATATATATTATTACAATGGAACAAATTTTGGGTTAAAAATTAATTTCTTCTCTCTCAAATAATTTCAATTATTTTGAATATGTTTCACAAATCTTATTCAAAATAAATTACGTATTAAACTTTAAAAAAACAAATTACGTACTTATTTGACAAACTCAACTGTGGGCAGTTGCATTTCCGTCCCAAAAACAATTTTGGGAGTTTAATATATCTATCTATCTCTCTTCCTTTTACGGTCACATTACTTAATGTCTTCAACTAAAAACGTTAAAATTTGAATTCTCCCACTAACTATTATTTTAGAATTAAAAAGTGAATTCATATTTCACGATAATGACCTGTCTTTCACACTTGAATAATAAAGTCGTTTCTAAAAATATGAAAAAAAAGTAGAATCCACAAAAGTATGTCATCTTTACAATAATTAGGAATCTTATCAAATCAATAGAACTATTATGGATAATTTACTGAAAATCTTTTAACAAAACATTTGTAAAATAATCCTCATAAAAAAAATGAGAGAGTCCGTAGAATAACAAAGCGTAGACAAAGATCATTAGACTTACACTTAAGACTATTGATCTATTTTTATCCATAACCTTGAATGACATAACATAATAAATAGACATAAATCAATTACCAGGCACGAGACTTGTAGAGGCCACAAGACAGGCACCGTTCATGCTTCAAATAATTCATCCAAGACATAACATAATAAATAGACATAAATCAATTAGAAGGCACGAGACGTGCAGAGTCCACAAGGCACGCACCGTTCATGCTTCAAATAATTCATCCAATCAAGCTAGTAGTAGAGTTGCTTATTTGGCCTAGGTCGGAGTTACTAATTATCTTTGAAACTAGCTTAGATTTGTTCATCTAAATCCAGTTTAACCTATGCAGACCCACGACATCGAGTTAGAGCATAATATACAATTCATGACATCAACTAATTAAAATTGTAGCTAAAAGAAACTTAAATTAACTAAAAATGCTTGTAAAAACTTTAAAATCGGGTGCGAGAGGATTAAAAATTGTAGAAAAGGGTCTAAAATTGATAATGTGAAATCTTACATTAGTTGAAGAGGAGAACGAAACATTCTTTACAAGGATGTGGAAACCTTTCCATAGAAGATGGCGATACATAATGGGTCAAAACAGACAATATCTACTAGTGGTGGACTTAGGTTATTACAGGTAAACCAAGCTGAATAAACCGTTTGGAGTCGCAAAAACGTGCCGAAGCTAAGCCGAAGTCCAAAGGTTTATTTGAATTTGTACATTCATACTTGCCCACAACTTTTTAACTTTTTCATTAATAAGTTTACAATTTTTTTCTCTTTTATTTTTAGAAAAAACATATTTATTTATTTATTCTCTTAACATTTAATCCATTTATAAAATAAAATAAACTTTCAATTTCATATATTTAAATCTCAAACTTAGCAAAGTATAATATAGGTGGAGGTGTGGTTAATGTTAGAAGCATAACGTAACATTATTGTGGTAACATAATGAGAAGAATGTTATTTAATGAAAGATACTATGGCAAAGGGAGAGAAGATGGAGGGTACATAACATGAGATAAGCGTGGCTTTGCAAGCAAATGCAATGGCTTTGGGAGAGAGAGTTCATCAGCTTGGGAGAAGTCTATCTTTGTGATTCCTGGCAGTAAGCTCCATGAAAAGCCTTGTAGAAGTCTTGCAAATAGCATCATAGTAATGGTAGTGCCGAGTGAGCTACCAAGGCACCCTCTTCTCCCTCTACTGAAGGTAATGAATCGCAGGTTGGGTTCTAATAATCCCAATTCCGTTGTCCTATCATTCATGTGCCGCTCTGGACTAAACTTCATTGGATCCTCCCAAGTCTTTGGATTTCGGCCTAGACCTATACGGCTGAGAAACACTTCACTACCTTTTGGGATGAAGTAACCAGCTATAATGATGTCAGAGTTTGAGACATGAGGAAGGTTGAAAGGCGAAAATTGATGAAGTCGAAATGTTTCTCTAATGCAAGCGGTGAGGTACTTGAGATTTGGGATATCAGATTCTTCAACAACCCTTTCTCTTCCAATTACTTTGTCCAATTCTTCCATGGCTTTTTCGAGAATTTTTGGTTGATTCATTAACTCTGCCATTGCCCATTCAACAATATTTGATGGATTATCTATTGCCGCAATTTGTAACTCCTATTATTTTGATCATCAATGTTAGATTAATGTTAGATTAAAAGTTTACGTTTGTGTCTAAAATGTAAAATTTAATGTTTGAAAACATTGCTTACCGTGATTTGAGCTTTAATCTCTGCGACAGATAGCAATGATTTTGCATTTTTATGTTGGAGTGAAATGAGGATATCAAGAATGTCGTCCTTCACCCCTTCCATTTTCCCATCTTTCCATCTTTGAACTCTCTCGTCTATAATAGGTTCATCATACTTTTGAACGACATTCAAAGCTTTCTTCATAATTTTTTGATGTCCATCTAAATCAAATGGCTTCAACCAAGGTACGAAATCCGATATAGAAAATGCATAAATATACTCGATCATTGTGAATAATGCTTGATTATGCTCTTCCTCTTCAAAAGTTGGCCCTCCATCTTCTCTTCCTTTGCCATAGTATCTTTTATTGAATATCATTCTTCTCATTATGTTACCACAATAATGTTGTGTTATGCTTCTAATATTAACCACTCCTCCATCTCTATTACTTGTTTGGCTAAATACAAAGCGTAAAAGAGTATCAGCCTCGGTGTTTCTATGGCCAAGCATTCGATGGAGAGTTGATGGATTGAATATCTCTGATGTAAGAATTCTTCTCATCTTCCTCCATTGTTCTCCCATCGGTGAAAGGGCGGTGGTGAGATATCCATGACTTAACATACCAACGGTGTTGGAAATACAAGAACGTGATGCAAAGATAGAATCATTTGTTTTGAGAAACTCAAGAGCGATCTCTGGAGAAGACACAGGGATTATGTAAGTACTTCCAAGACGTATGCATGCAATTTCAGTGTTGAATTGCTTCATTACTGCATGGATCCATTTGTAGGTTGGCATGTTGGTGGTCAACATTGTTGGGAGGCAGCCCACGAGAGGCCATGGCTTAGGGCCTGGTGGGAGCTCAGCTGCTTGCCCATTTGAATGCTTTGTTTTGCGGTAATAACATTGAGAGAACATAACAAAAATGAAAGACATACATAGAAGCACAAAGAAGGCATCCATGGCTAGCTCTCTTTCTCTTGCTGTTCTCTCGGTGGATGAATGCATCCAATTTATAGGAAGTCACACTTAATATAGGGTAAGGATAGTTGACTTATAAGGCAATATTAAGTACTACCATATTTGCAAAAGGCAGATACGTTGTATTCATTTATTATTATTTTGTTTTATTGTTGTTCCAAATTATATTTTATTATATTTTTTTTTATTGTTATTTCAAATTATCTGTATTTACCATATTTCTATCTTTTGTAAATGAATACGACGAGTTCAAAGATGGAAAGATGAAAAATTCGAGGTAAATGACTACATTCTTGATATCCTTAATTCACACAAAGATCAAAATGTAAAACCATTGCTACCAGTTGCAGAGATCCAAGCTTATATATCATATTTGACCCTTTTATTATAGGCAACTTATCTTGTATGCTTGAGGATATATCATATTTAACCATGAAGGCAAATATCTAAATATTTGTCTTCCAATACAGCTTAATGGGCATCATATTTGCAATTTTATTATAGCCAAATATCTTATATCCATTTATTGGTGTTTCTTGATTGTTGTTTTTATATAGTTTATAATTTGTTTGATGGTTAGAGAGCGAGAATTTCTCCACTATATAGGTGGGGTGATTTCAGTAAATATTCTCACTTTACACGAAATTTAAAATTTATGCACATTTTAGACACAAACTTAAACTTTTAATCTAATGTGATGAAATGTGATGAAATCAATCATATTGTTAATACCGATAGTGAAGTGTTGCTAATAATAGGAGTTAGAAATAGCAACCATAGATAATCCTTCAAATGTAGTGGAATGGGCAATAGCGTTGTTACTAAACCAACCAAAAATTTTGGAAAAAGCCATCGAAGAATTGGACAAAGTAGTTGGAAAGGAAAGGGTGGTTTAAGAATATGATATCCCTAAACTCAAGTGCCTCACCGCTTGTATTAGAGAATCATTTCGACTTCATCCATTTTCACCTTTCAATATTTCTCGTGTCTGTTGTTGTAAATTGTCATAAGGTCCTATTTTTAAGACTAATTAGTCCTATTCTCTACCATTAGATTTGCTGATATTTTTAGGCTCAACAAAAGGCAATATAATGTCATTGTTTCTGCTGTTGAAAACATCAAGTTTTGTGTGTCACATTGTATTTCTTGAGTGACATATTGGTGTTGTGAGTACATCTGTTCCGCTTTCGGCGCACAACAAGTGATATCAGAGCCTTGTTGTGGTATTATGAAAGTTTTGGCCTCATCGACCACTAGACGTGCTCACAATCGTGCTTATTCTCTTGAAAATCAATTTTCAAGGATTGTGTTTTTAGTTACATCCAGATTAATTATTGCAAATAGTAAAATCATCACAGCGTGGATCGAGATTGTGGAGTTCCAATCTTGAAGTAGAGAAATTTGATGAAATCAATAATTTTGGTGTTTGGCGAGGCGAAGTTAGCGATTTGCTGGTTATGCAAGACCTCGATGTTTCTCTCCAAGAGGAGATGCCTGAAGACATGACAGAAGCAGAATGGACGAAATTAAATCGGCAAGCCTGTGGAATTATTCGATCCTGTCTTGGCAAGGATCAGAAATATCCATTTATGAAGGTTACCATGGCGAAAGAATTATGGGACAAGCTTGAGGCGAAATATATGAAGAAGAGTGTGGAAAATAAACTCTATTTGAAGAAGAAACCCTTCCGTTTTGACTACAAGGAAGGTATCTCAATGGCTGAGCATTTGGATGATTTTAACAAAATCATCACTGATTTGCTCAATCTTGATGTTAAGATTGATGACGAGGACAAGGCGTTGTTGTTATTAAATTCTTTGCCGGAATCCTACGAGTTTTTAGTAACGACCCTACTACATGGAATCACTAATATTGATTTTGAAGATGTTTCAAATGCCTTCATAAATAATGAGATGCAAAAGAAGGAAAAGGAGGCATATCAAGGCTCTAGCTCAAATGTTCTCACTGCTCATGAAAGGACTTCTACTTGGAAAAGGAACGAATGTGGAGAGTCCTGATTAAAGTCGAGAGGTAGATCTGATAATTGGAGAAAACTTGATAAAAATGAGTGTGCATATTGTCGACAGAAAGACCATTAGAAGAAAGATTGTCCAATCTTAAAAGAGAAGGGGTTGAAGTCCAATGTGGTTAGAGATGACGACATTGATACAGATGATGCCTTGACAATCTCCCTGTCATCAGCCAAACTAGTGAATGGATTCTTGATTCTGGGTGCTCCTATCATTTGTGTCCCAACATAGAGATGTTTTTGGACTTCAAAAAGTTCAATGGTGGAGTTGTCTATATGGGCAATGATAGTACTTGCAAGATGATGAGAATCGGCTCAATACAAATCAAGCTGTTTGATGGGGTTATACGAAAACTCAATGATGTGAGGTATGTCCAAGAAACTCCTTACGTAGAATAAACCATGCTTGCTTTAATGTGGTTGCTGCTGCAATTGGTGAAAAAAATAGTCTCATGAACGGCTTGATGAATAATGAATAGAGCCTTGGCATCATTTTTCCTAGTTTCTCTCAATCTCTCCTTTTCTTATATTGTGGGTTCTAATACATCAATAAATCCGTGTTCCACCAAGTCCCATAGCTCCTGCGATCTGAACAAGGTTTTCATCTTGTGAAAAAAAAATAATCACTCACCCTCACCTCATGTTGACAGGAACTTGGCTCTGATACCAAATATGTTGGGAAAAAAATATTAAAAGAAATAGGAATAAATCGAAGCTGTAGTGCTTTATTATTGTTTTCTCACCCAATGATTAAAGAGTTACACAATTCTAATATTGATAGGCTTATACACTAACACGAAAGAGTAAATTATGGAAATCTAGATAAATTCAAATCTACTGACAAACTTCTCAAATCTTGGTAGTTTGAATACTTTGAATCATATCTCAACTTCTTTAAATTATATCTGAATTTTGAATACTTTGAATCATATCTCACCAAGGAGAAAAGGGTGCCTGGTAACTTACTCGGCACTTAAATGATTCTATTTGCAAGACTTTTACAAGGGTTTTCATAGACCTTACTGCCAAGAATCACAAAGATAGACTTCTCTGAAATTGATGAATTCTCTCTCCCAATTCATTGCATCTGCATGCAAAGCCACGCTTATCTCACATTATGTACCCTAGGCGTATTCATCACCAAGGGTAAGCTCCTTAAAATAATAATGTCCAAACAATAACAATAGCTACTTATATTCCTTCTACAAACATAATACATATGCTTGTGTGTTTAATTTTTATGTACTTTTGTTTATTGAAAAAATAATTTATGTTATAAAAAGATAATTACTTAGTTTGAAAAATGACGAAATATAGAGAAATATTACTTTTAAAGAAATAGGTTGAATACGAATAAATAACAACGGTTTTGATAACATATAACTCAGGTATGAAGAATTGACAATTAATCACATCCCCTATAGTATATTTTAGTGCATTTTAGCCCTGGTGTAGACATGATTTTAATGACCAGTCATACACTACTATATTGACACAACAAAGATGGTAAATGTCTATCTAACATGAAAGCAAGTAAAAGAGGTTTGGAACTGGCATGTGGCCATGAATGTCTTGGACAAGCATGACTGGAACATCTGACATGCGGCCACAAGCAATACGCCTTGGACAAGCATGACCATGACACAAGGCAGGCGCGCATGACATCTATGTGTGGGTGGTGTGTGAAGCGACTGTAAGCTCTTTGGCCCGTTTCAACTCCCAATTTTCAATTTTTCGCTCCAATTTCAATATTAACCATAGTCTTGTTGAATTAAGACCTACTAAAAAAAATCATAATTTTGGAGTTCCTAACACGTAAAAAAGCTAGCTCGAAAAGGCATGTGTCATCCATGTAAGTAACCACATGAACTTTAGCAAGTAATACTTGTACTGATCCCTATGACGTTCTAGCATACGAGTATTTCTTACCTTAGGTTGTTAGAAAATGCATGTCAAGGACTTCAGAAAGGCATTTTTAGATGAGTATGCACTCTATGTAAGTCATGGTAAAATTATTATTCTACCCCTAAGTTGAGATACTCGAGAAGCATGTTATCTTATGTATTATGTAGAGCTACAGCATGGTAAAATTATTATTCTACCCCTAAGTTGAGATACTCGAGAAGCATGTTATCTTATGCATTATGTAGAGCTACAGCCAGTGTAGTTTAGGGCATGGCTTTAATACCATGTTAGGAATCACAGATCTTCACAATGATATAATATTGTCCAATTCGAGCATAAGCTCTCATGGCTTTGCTTTGTGCTTCCCAAAAGGCCTCATGCCAATAGAAGGAGTATTCCTTAATTATAAACTCAGGATCATTTCCTAAATTAACGGATGTGGGACTTTCATCCCACACATATAACCTACCCACATATAACCTACGCAAAGTTCTTTGGGTTTTGGGTTATTTATCTCCTCTTTTTGTGATCTATCTCTCTCTATGATTTCTTTTTCAAAAACAAATCGTTCAAACGGATATTCGTTAAAATATTTTGTTATATTGCTCAAACTATATCTAATTTATATCTACAAATAAGTGGGAGAATACATAGAAATCAAACACACAAGCAAATTTATTATGCAGCAAGCACAAGGAATATAAGTAGTTGTTTTTATTCGGTATACAATGTCGTCTTAGTTACGCTATGCATCATGATGAACAAGCCTTGGGTACATGATATGAGATAGACGTGGTTGTGCATGCAGATGCAATGGCTTCGGGAGAGAGAGTTCATCAGCTTCAGAGATTGAAGCTATCTTTGTGATTCCAGGCACAAAGCTCCATGAAAAGCCTTGTAGAAGTCTTGCAAATAGCATCATAGTAATGTTAGTGCCAAGTGAGCTACCAGGGCACCCTCTTCTCCCTCTACTGAAGCTCATGAATCGCAGGTTGGGTTCTAATAATCCCAATTCCACTGTCCTATCATTTAGGTGACGCTCTCGATTAAACCTCATTGGATCCTCCCAAATCCTTGGGTTTCGGCCTAGACCTGTACGGCTGAGCAACACTTCACTACCTTTTGGAATGAAGTAACCCGCCACTATGATGTCCGTGTTTGAGACATGAGGAACGTTGAAAGGTGAAAATGGATGAAGTCGAAATGATTCTCTAATACAAGCGGTGAGGTACTTGAGATTTGGGATATCATATTCCTGAACTAGCCTTTCTCTTCCAACTACTTTGTCCAATTCTTCAATGGCTTTTTCAAGAATTTTTGGTTGGTTTAGTAACTCCGCCATTGCCCATTCTACTGCGTTTGAAGGATTATCTATCGTTGCAATTTGTAACTCCTATTATTGGAAACACTTCAGTGTCAGTATTAACAATATGATTGATTTCATCGACATTAGATTACAAATTTAAGTTTGTGTCTATAATGTGCATAAATTTTAAATTGTGTTTAATGAGAATATTTATAACCATCAAAGATATGGAAACAAAAATTAATAGAGAGAGAGTAATAAGTTGATATCTTATTATAATATGATACTGAAAGGCAAATAGTTAGATAATTGGTGGGTGAGATATGATATCTATAGTAAACAGAATGGAAGGCTAAGTATACTCAAGCATACAAGATATTTGTCGGTAAATAAAGAGTCAAATATGATATAAATGATAAACTATAATTCGTCCCGAAATTTAATGTTTGAGAACATTGCTTACCATGATTTGAGCTTTAATCTCTACGACAGATAGCAATGGTTTTGCATTTTCATCTTTGAGTGAAATGAGGATATCAAGAATGTCGTCCTTCACCTCTTCCAATTTTTCATCTTTCCATCTTTGAACTCTCTCGTCTATAATGGGTTCATCAAACTTTTGAACGACATTCAACGCACTCTTCATAACTTTCTCGTGTCCATCTAAATCAAATGGCTTCAACCAAGACATGAAATCTGATATAGAAAATGCGTGAAGATGCCTAATAATTGTCAACGATGCTTGATCATGCTCTTCTTCTTCGAAAGTTGGCCCTCCATCTTCTCTCCATTTGCCATAGTATCTTTGATTGAATAACATTCTTCTCATTATGTTACCACAATAATGTTGTGTTACGCTTCTAACATTAACCACACCTCCACCTCTAGTACTTGTTTGGCTGAAAATATAGCGTAAAAGAGTATCAGCCTCGGCGTTTCTATGGCCAAGCATTCGATGGAGAGTTGATGGATTGAGTACTTCTAATGCAAGAATTCTTCTCATCTTCCTCCATTGTTGTCCCAAGGGTGCAAATATGGTGGTGACACATCTACGGTTTAGAATATCGACCGTGTTCGAAATGGAGGAACGTGATGCAAAGATAGAATCATATGTTTTAAGAAACTCAAGAGCGAGCCGTGGAGAAGCCACAGGAATTATGTAAGTACTTCCAAGACGTATGCAAGCAATTTCAGTGTTGAATTGCTTCATTACTGCATGGATCCATTTGTAGGTTGGCAAGTTGGTGGCCAACATTGTTGGGCGGCAGCCCACGAGAGGCCATGGCTTAGGGCCTGGTGGGAGCTCAGCTGCTTGCCCATTTGAATGCTTTGTTTTGCGGTAATAACAATGAGAGAACATAACAAAAATGAAAGGCATACATAGAAGCACTAAGAAGGCATCCATGGCTCTCTTTCTCTTGCTGCTCTCTCCGTGGATGAATGCATCCAATTTATAGGAAAGTTGCACTTAAATTGACACACAACTTTGACTATGGTTGCATTACTAAATACAGAATATATTTTCAACTAAAATTGTCAAAATTTTTAACTCTCCTACCATCTATTATTGTAGAACTATAAAATAAATCCATAATACATGAATAATGGAGTCCTAGTTGAAAACGAGAAAAGTATGACTGACAAAAACAACGAAATCTTTCAAACTTCAGAGTGAAATATACAAATACAATATAATCTTTCAAAAAACTTAGGAACGGTACTATCTTTCAACGAAACATACACAAAATACAGACAAATATTATTAGGCTTAAGACTTAAACTATGATCTATTTTAACCTACAATCTTTATGCACTAAACGGAAAACTTGAAAACATATTCATTAATAACGTTTTGAATGAAATTTCTATTAGATGGTAAAAATTAAAAATTGCAACATTTTATTTAAATTTAAATTTATGAATGCAACTATTTATCCACGTTTAAAATGTAATATGTAATGTACATTTGAATTTGAGCCAAAATAAATGAAGAGAGAAAGAATTATATATGAGTGGCTACCATTGAACTGATATTGCGTGTTAGGGAGCTGTGTACCTTGTGACTGTATTCATGTGTCCTTTTTTTATTTTTATTTTTTTTATTGGTACAGCATTTAATAAAGCACATTTTTTAAATGGAGGGATTTTTTTTTTCTTTTTTTTTTTTTTTTTTTTTTTTTTTTTCTAACCATCCATGTCTAAGATTAAAAAATTGATATTGTGTCTGGTCGGGGGACAAGTACTATTGTCTTTTTATAGTTGAGGTAGTGGCTTCTGGCTCGTCTTTGACCTTTAATTTGGGTTCTTTTCGTTTAAAACAACATTTTTTAAATGGATGGATTTTTTTTACGTCACACATAGAATTCAAAATCTAGATAGAGCATTTCCCTAAGACATAATCTCCTTATTGTTTTTCTTTCTTTTTAAAGTGAAGACTACGACACAGTTTCTTCAACTTTGAACGACTGGGTTTTATATTGTCACCATAATTGATTAAATTAAATTTGATAATATTTGTGTTAAGGACTAAATTAGAAATTAAAATATAATTTAAGAGTTTAAACTATATTTTAAAAAAAAAGAAATATGAGGAGAGATACATTTAATAATGACAAAGGTTAGAAAATTAAAAATTAAATCAAAGATGTGTTTTAGTTAAGTTTATGATATGAACCAACAAATATCAACCATACAATATACTTCAATAAATGATAAGATAAGGAATCACTACAAGGGGAATAAGATTTGGATTATCTTGTTGATCGAATATCTCAAGGCAAGAACATTGTTTGAGATTCGAATCAATCCACAAGCAAGATCGATCATGTCTAGCTTGAATGATTCTTGTTGATCAAATATCTCAACGCAAGAACACTTGTTTCAGATTCGAATCACTCCACAAGCAAGATTGATCATGTCGAGTTTGAATGATTCTACATGCAACCTAAAGTACATAGAATTGCAAAGAAACTTAGTCATCGACTAAAGAAAAAGCACAAATGCTCCTTTTACTATATCTTTCAAGTCTACTTACAAATACAATATACATGGCTTTATATATTCTCAAAATGAAACTATTACAGGCATTACAAGAGTTATTATTTAGTATGCATTACAAAAATTTCCCACTATAGAGCAAGGAATAATTAGACGAAAAACACTATTTAATTTTGGTATCAATCGTAAAAGCCAGTTTACAAATGGATCCAGTGAAATAAGACTTCTTTGTATTAAATTCGTTTATTAGGAATCATTAAACAATTTTTTTTTTTTTTTTTACAAAATAACATTTTATATTTTTTTTTTTTTTTGTTTTGTTTTTTTGATAGCTATATTAGGAGTATACTCTAATTTATAGAAAAAATAATAAATAGTAAAAAAACAATTCCTTTTGAACACTAGATGTCTTTCACATCCAATTATAGTAAGGAATAATCAATTCTAATTTTTTAATGGCTTCCAAGAAAGCACTTCTATATCAAAAAAGTAACATCCATACTCAGTGACCATAATTAACTATTATGTAATTATAACTGTAAATAAAAAGTTTTAAAAAAATACAATAACTCTAAATTGCTCTAAATTATAATCCACCCAAATTTATACCATGAAACTTCATTATTCTTCAATATGGCATGAATTGAAATATCTTTTGATAATTTCAACAATATTTTCTTCACATCTTCATTGAAGTATATTGTATGATCGATATCTCTTAGTTCATATCAGTTTCTTTTTTAAAAAATTGAGAAAATAAAGGAAAAAACAAGAATTGTTAAGACATGTGATTACCTTTTTAATTTAATATTTAAATTTTTAGTTAAATGTTCATAAACTTTATAAGAAAAAAAAAAACATCTCACAATAAGGAATCACTTCAAGAGAAAGTAAGATTCAGATTATCTTGTTGATATGAACATTTGTCTGAGATTCGAATCACTCAACAAATAAGATTGATACTGTAATATTCTAAAATAGTAATGATAATATGTATTTTTGTATTTATTTCCAGTTGTATTTGTTAATAATAATAAGAATAAGAATAAGAATAATAATAAAATCTGTAAATAAGGAAATTTAAAAAAAAAACGAAAAACATGTCAAGCTGCTGCTGTAATGGAGGAAAAATGGGAATGGACGCGTGGGCGGATGATGAAGGGTTTGCTAGTTGGTGTTGGAAGCAAGACAGGGAGCTGATTTGGATTTAAAATGAAGAGCAGCAGAGAAACGAACCCCAAAAAACAGAGGAGGAAAAAAATTCTGAGATTTCGAGTTTGGTTTGCTTAAATTTGGTTGTCAATTCGAGCTGTAGAACCGTAATAAGGAGATCTATAAAGTTGTAGAAGAAGCCGGAACGAAATCCGAGCTGTAAAGATGGAATATGGCTTCGGGACATAACGGGCATTAATAGAAAAGTTAAAAAATCGCCAGAAATCAAAGGAAGAAGAAGAAGTAGCGCATACGGTACACGCAAGGCGCGTGGGAGGCCGCGAGTGAGAGCACGACTGTGCGTGGACCAGGCGCGTGAAAAAACCACCCCCGAACTTGTGCTGACGCGTGAGGGCGCATGTGAAGTTATTTTGATTCTCGGTTTGTCTCCTTCGACTTCTTTTGACCCGTTCTATCAAAATTGGTCTATACTTATCTTGAAAATGGTGAAAAATAGGTCTAATTTGGAGGAATTTAGTTGAAATAACCTATTAAACCTACATCCAAGGAAAAAAGGATTCGAAACCAAGTAAGTAGCATATCGATCTTTGAATTAGTTGTTAACTTGTTTTACAACATGTGATATGTTGTTTACTTGATTAAGAACTTAGTATGTTAATACGTGGTGTGACGATATTGATTGTCTAATTGTATATTGTGACTGCTTGTCTGTGATGTAAGCATGTAATAAATGATTACTAAAATGTTCTATGTATCGAACGTTATAAACGTATGAAAGCATGCATCAGATGTGAGTATGCTAAGCATGTTAATGGAAAGGTTATGACTCTAAGATATGCTTATAGATTGTTGAGCCATGGCTTATTTATATGAGTATGATAGTCTACTAATTCCCACGAATGATAGTCTACTAATTCCTACGGAGTTCCAGATCAACGCACTGTGTGCTAAGTCAGAGAGAATGAGTACTCCTGACCGTTGGTATATGAGATATACAGGCCGCCAGAGAAATTAGTAGATGGGTCGTATTTGACCGAGAGAGAGTCTTACATACGAGTCTGAAAATTCTAGATAAGCATATTAAGAGAGAGTCAGTAACCTAAGCTGAAGGTAGCTGAGATACCTGATTAATTAACAGATGACTCTTATACCTGATTAATGAACAGATGACCCTAGTAGGAAGAGAAACTAGGAATCAATGGCGAATAAAACTTAAAAACACCTGGAAATATTAGTTATGAACTCAGGAAAGATAAGTTAGCTACTTATTCGGTAATCTAATTACTCATCAAAATTATTATAACTTTTCTTTCCAGATTTAGATGATGCAGGCCAACCGAGGACGAGACCAACGGGCTAGAGACTATTGGGAATCCATGTTTGGGTCTGTTTATGTAATTATGTTTTTGTTGTTTAAAATTTCTGTTGGTTAATAATGTTTTAAACCGAGCTGGTTTTTAAATATTTTACTTAATGTTATGAAAATATTTTGAAATTTATGATTGGTTGTCGGAGTGTTATCGATGTCGGTGGTAACTCCTGTTAATCGCGTTGTCGAGGAGCGGGTATTACAGATACTGTCAAGCTTGAATCGTTTTAAACATGCAAATGGCAAATCAAATTAGTCTTTGGCTAAAAAAAACACAAATGCTCTTTTTTCTTCGTATTCCAATTCTACTTTACGGAAAGAACATACATAAGCTTTATATCGCCTCGAAATGAAAACTCTTATACTCTTTGACCATAATTAAATCACCATAAATCTAATTTTTATTATCTATCCTAAATATGTAACCATCTGAGAATAAATGAAATCTCACTCGAAGTATCTTGAAACCTTTGTTGCATAAATGAAGCTTGATTCTTTTTAATGTAGCATTAATATTATATGATTGAGTGTGATGTCCCATGTTGGTTGGGAGAGGAGAACAAACCACCATTTATAAGGGTGTGGAAACCTTCCCCTAACAGACGCGTTTTAAAACCTTGAGAGGAAGCTCGAAAGGAAAAATCCAAAGAGGACAATATCTGCTAGCGGTAGATCTGGGGTGGGGCGTTACATTGAGATTTCCCGATTCATATCATCCTCTATCAAGCTCAAAGATGAAAATGCTACTAGTCGACCTAACAATAAAAATGAAAATGCTACTAGTCGACCTAACAATAAAATTATGACATAACTACAGAACAGCTATAGCTGTTATTCGTACATGGGTCCTTGCCTTTATTTAGTGGAACCTACCTTTTTGTAATTATTCATTGGGGTTTACTTTCTTTTACGAGTAAAATTGGATGCATAGTGCTTATTCACACACGATTCACGCATGCGAGCACGCTCACACTATCAATTACTAGTGAAAAATAAAGGAGCATGTCTAATATCATACTTTACACGTTTATATGCAACCTATCAGAGAAGTAATTCATACTCGTGTGACATACAACATACATGAGGTCTCACATTAAAAATTTGGTTCAGTGTAATGATGCATATAGTATTTCCATACTTATCGTGATATTGATACCCTATAAGATGTGCTTACATATTCGTGGTTTTTCATGCATGCTCATCATACATGATATATTATAGTATCTAAGAGTTACCATTATAATCGTAACAATATAGCAAACATGAATTGTAAGTACATGTACCACGAAAATTCACTAGAATATCATAGTAGCACATAGTACCGCACAGAGGGCGACATTTACCTGATATTTATGCTTCATTGAATTCATCCAACCTAGTCTACAACTATTCTAATTATAACGGCCCTATTTTTCTATTAAAAATAAGGTCGTAAAGCATGCATGACATGCCTGTTCCGTGCGAAAACATACATTTACAATATTTCATAAACGATGTCATAGACTTAAACGTTCATAATGAAATCTTTAAAACAACTTAAAATAAAGTAAGAATAAAACAATGTATTGATTTAACCCAAGGGATAGAGACGATATGAATGCATCTATCCTAATTTCAATCTCATAGTCGTCACAGCGATGTCATCATTGGTACAAATGTGTTTTACCTTTACCTGAAAAAATGAGAGTAGCACAGTATTTTAAGGAATACTAAGTACCCCACCAAGTTAGGAAATTCAATTACATGGGATCATGTTTAGGACCTATCATTTCATATAACATCATGGCATGGTTTTGGTCCCCACTTCTAGTCTCGGGAGAATAAACCATTTTAGTATTGATGCATCATGACTGTCAATTATTGAATTCATCCAAGCAGTTTCAGAGCCGAACCTAAAGAGTTTTTTTTAGTTCAAGAACAAGTAAACTTGAAGGGACTCAAACTCGAACAATGTTCATCAAATTTAAATAGTCAAAAGTGAAACGGATCCATCCAAATTGCTAAATATTCTCTTGTATCTCGACTCTTTTCATGGTCGTATCGATATTCTTCACCAAAAGATCAAAGGCGGGGTATTACTTAATCTTGGAGCTATAGAAAAAAACCCTCATTTAAGTCTTTTCCTTGTGCCTACCATAAAAGATGAACACAGGGAATCCGTATCACTTTAAATACCCAAAACGCAGAAGAAGATTAGAAGAAAAAGATGGAAGCGAAGGTCAGCAAATTCTTCGGGTCGGTCTCCAATTTCTTTTCCGGCGGCGATCACATACCGTGGTGCGATCGCGATGTCATTGCCGTATGTTCATTCACTGGCTTCTTCTTCTTTCTCTACTCATCTTTTAGTTGCTTGATTTGTTTTCTTGTTTAGATTACGGGTTGTTTCTGAAATCAGGTTGCTGGGTTCTTAATGAACCATATTTGTAGTGTTTAAGTGAATTTTGGTATGAATTCTTCGCGTTTGTACTGCAAAACTGTGTTCTAATCGTTAGTGAACTTCTGTTAATTCTTCCAGCTTCCGTATAATCCGATGAATAATTTATGAAGTTATTCAATTTCGTTTTGTGGCTGTGCGGACTTTAAACTTGAAATTTCCCCCTTTCGAATCGTTTATCTGTGCCCTAATATTTCAAATTTTAACGAAAACTGATTCCTCCTTGTGTTTAGGGCTTGTGTTCTTGTTCTTAATCCGCAAGATTGAACATCGTTTACTGGATTTTAATCGTGGGATCCAATGATTCCCGCAGTTCTTCGCGGGTATTACTTAAATTATTGCTTTCACTAATCTTTGCCTTCATTTTCAGCATGTCATCCTTAATGGAACAATCAGTTTTACTTGGTTCTTTAGCTAAGACTATTGAAGACTCATTTGATCTTGTCCATGGGGGGGTAGTTTTAAGGCTAGATTTTTCTATCCCTGCATTTTCTTCATTCTTGATAGCTATCTCTTCTCTGTATCAGACTACAAGATGGCATATGCAGGCATAATCTTTGTTATAGTATGAGCAGTCTAACTCATATATCCATAGTCATTAAAGAAGGAAAGAAGAACAAAAAAGTTATCCTGAAAATTCTATGCCCGTTCGTATCAGATTATAGAATTGTTTTGTGTTTTAGATTTACAAAAACAGTTTTTGTCATGTTTTCTCAATTAGTTATTATATATTTATTAAGTTTAGCATGATTTGAATGTATATCATTGGAGCTGTAGTTTCTTGTTTTTCTCTATGGCTTTGTCATATCTTGTGAGATCTCATATCGGTTGGAGAAGGGAACGAAGCATTCTTTATATGGGTGTGGAAACTTCTCCCTAGCACACGTGTTTTAAAACTGTGAGGTTGACGACAAAAACGTAACGGGCCAAAGTGGACAATATATGCTAGCGGTGGACTCGGGCTGTTACAAATGGTATCGAGCCAAACACCGAGCGGTGTGCGAACGAGGACGTTCGGCCCCCAAGGGGGTGGATTGTGAGATCTCACGTCAGTTGGAGAGGGAAACAAAACATTCCTTTTAAGGGTGTGGAAACCTCTCCCTATCAGATGTGTTTTAAAACCGTGAGACTTACGGCGATACGTAACGGGCCAAAGCGGACAATATCTGCTAGCAGCAGGCTTCGGCTTGGGCTGTTACATATCTTTACCTCCATTGTATAGTTATGAAGTAGAAGTTCAAACCTTTTGTTGTGACTGCTTTATTTTGTTAATCTTTATTTGAATAATGCCATCTCTTTTATTATTCTTTGAATGACACCCCTTTTTAAGTTGATATGGTGATGCATTGCAGGGTTGCGAAAGAGAGGTTGCTGACGCCGAAAAGGGCTCATCTGATGAGCTGTTGAAGGAAAGCATCATGCGTTTATCTTGGTCACTTGTTCATTCGAGGCAACCCGAAGATGTACAACGCGGGATAGCAATGCTTGAAGGTGAAGTATTTCGAGGAATTGAACATCTTTGTTTCTTTTTATAAACTTCGAGTTTCCAAAATGTGAGCCTTCAAAGTGCCAACGTTAACGTATAGTTAGCTAGTTACTCATCTGATACTGTTCGTAAAACTTTCTCCCTTTTCTGTCATTTTTTACTATGCAGCTGCGCTATCTGGTGATGATAGCCCATTGAAGATGAGAGAGAAGCTTTATCTTCTTTCTGTTGGGTATTTCAGAAGTGGTGACTACTCTAGGAGTAGGGATCTTGTAGAACAATGTCTAACGGTACGATTTCATCCGTGGCATGGATTTCTATGCATAATAATACCTGAGCTTAATACTCGAGCCTATAACTGTAATGCAAAAAGGCGTAAATTCGGCCTTTATACGAATCTGACCCCCTAGCAACTGCCCTTCTTTTCTGTATGAACTTTTGGAATTCAACCATTTGGTGTTTGATTCTCAGATTGCACCTGACTGGAGACAGGCAAGGACACTGAAGAAGTCGATCGAGGACAAGATCACCAAAGGTATCAATTTCTCCCACACTTCTCATCTTTCCTTATCTGAACGTAACCATAATTCCTCGAAAACTGAACATTTTCGTTCATTATGACTATTGCTTGGAACGTAGACGGTGTGATCGGCATCGGCATTGCAGCAACTGCTGTTGGACTGATTGCTGGTGGCATTGCTGCTGCTGTTTCCAGGAAGAAGTGAGCCAATTACTTGCTTTGCACATTAGAGATCACTGTTTGATTAAATCCTGTTTTAGAATTACTATACTCGAGGAACTTTGATGTATGATGCTGCTTACTGAGGTTTGTTCTGTGATTCTGTTGTATTTTACCTATTTCAATTGGTAAAAACATGATGTTATGAACCTTTTCCTGAGTTGGTAGTTTATTTAAATTTTTAATATGGTTCGTTAATATTGTCCTCTTTGGACTTTCTTTTTTCGGGCTTCCCCTCAAGATTTTTAAAACATATCTATTAGGGAGATATTTTCACTCTTATAAAGAATGCTTCGTTTTCCTCTCCAACCAATATTGGATTTCACAGCTTAAAAAATCTTTTCTTTGAAAATTAGCTAAATGACGATTTGATTACGATAATTGAATTTAAGGAAGAAAAAAATCAAGAAAGGACGAAACTCCGACGTATCAGGTCTGGGGCATCACTTTCACAAAAGCCTATAGATTCCCCTTCCTATGAGTACCTTGTAATCTTCTCAAAGATCATTACGAGCCCTCTCATTTATTGATAAAAGCAGCTTCGACAAAAGGAAAATAGAATAATGCCAATTTTCAAGAAGTATAAGATATACCAATACGCATCATTTTTTAAAATAGAAAACTAAAAACTAAAAACAAACCCATTTATCACAGATGAATCTAAACAAATAACTTCACTCAATAATTATATGTTTGGAATAAATGCAATTAATAAAGATTTAGAATAAACTAGGAGAGAGGAGAAGATGCTCTTAGAATTTATACAAGTAGCAGTATTTGTATTTACATTTCTCATAACCCCCACACAACCATGCAGGGGAAGAATGGAAAAAGGAGAACACTAAACCTTAAACACACAAGAAATCATCAAATCCATCTAGTTTTCCTTCTAATTCTACTAATTCTTGTCCCTTTCTTAAAACCCCTATCGTCATAGTACTTCCAATCTAAATCTTAATGGTCAATATGATCCAGTTAAGTAGAGAGCCTCGAAATTGAACAAACCTTTTGTTTCCATGTACAAAATGATTTGGTTTCTGTGGCTGTTTGCATATAAGTCAATGAGTCAACTCTTCACCTCCAATGCCTATACTAGACTTATCCATGGCACGTACGTTATATCGTTCGTAAACTCGTGCACGGTTCTCTGCCCACCATTGCTCTGCTTGCTTCTCCGTAAATCGCTTCCGACTGCATTGAACCAATAATTTGAAGTTCAGAGAAAGTTTTGCATGGAGAAAAGATTATAAAGTAGTAGACTGCTTGCATAAAAAACGAAATCATAAGAAATGAAAAGTAAAATCTGTTGGTAAACCATTTCCCTCCAAAAAAAAATTCTCTCTTTCTAGGCTAATGAAGTATACTTGAATCATGAATACCTGCAGCATTAGTTTATGGAAACCGGGTATAGAATTGGCTAAAACATGCTTACCTGAAACGAACTCGCTTAAGATCCTTGACACCTCCTGATTGTGAGGTGAGTGTAATATATACACCCGGCTCGTCTTGCTCGACCCATTCTGCTTCTTGGCGAGACTCAGTTTCCTTAATTCTATTTCCATTCTTTGCTGAATCCAATTGACTCGATTTACTTTGAGTTGAAGACTGGTTATTTGCGGTGCCTGATCCATTAGAAAGCAACTGGACACATGAACCGTTTGAGTCTGTCTCTAAGGATGTTGCTTGACCACTTAATTGGTCCATAGAGGTGTTGATCAAATGATTGAAGGTTGCACCGGAGCTGAAAGAGGTAGGAGTTGATTTCATGTTACGGGCAGCTCCAACTGGCAGCCTTTCAGCCATTTCCTTCAGCTGTTCACCACCCGATTGATAAAAATTTAGTGTTTACTGAAAAATTTCCATTGAATTCTCGTATAACATTAAGGGTAAGACTGAAATGCATCATGTATCCTGAAAACAAATGCTTTGTTGGAACAGAACACAAAACGCAGGCAAGATAACTCGGATTTCTTAAAGATCGATGAATTAAACTTCCACAAAACGAACTGAAAAAATGAAAAATGAAAATAGATGGAAAAGAACAAAAAAAAACAAGCTCGACATCTTGGAGTTTTTTTAACTAACAATTAAGAAATAAAGTTCCTGCACTTTAGCCTCGGGGTTATTAGAAACGGAAACCATGAAGTATTAAATAGCTCATAATAAACCAACTTACTTGCGCAGTTAGTGACTTGATCACTTCTTTGGCTGCATTGCATCTTGCAGCCTCCTCACTTGCAATTGATATTGCTTCCTTCAACTGTTTGCTTGTTCTTTCTAGCTCAACTTCTTGAAGTTGTGCCTTGCGTGTAAGGCTTTCAACCTGAGAGAATATTCGGTTGAGCAAAGTTGTTCTCCAACATGAAATTATTTAGTCTATAGAAGAGGGATAAACCTAATAGTGTCTCCTATAGAAAATGAAATAATCACATGCCAAAGACAACGCTACCAGAAGATTACAGGCAACTCCTCCATTGTGTAACCCATTCATACATAAATTTGTATTATAAGGAAACACCTTGATTAGAGAAATGAACAATAATAATAAGGAAACACCATGTGAATAAATTTGGGATTTTCTTCTGTTAAATGATAACGTCATTGCAGTCTTGATTAATCAAATCACATAAATGCCAATAAGGGTCTAAAAGCAGAAACCAATGTGTTAAATTACAATTTTGATCCCTATGATTAGGAGAAAGTTAGAATTTAGTACCTATGAAACGATGGACTAAATTTGTAATTCAACCAAAAAAATGAAAGAAGTTACCTGAGCCCTTAATCTAATAACCTCCTGGCTAAGTCTGTTGTTCGTGCTTTTAGCATCGTTCACAGCAATCCTTGGAGAGGTAAGCCCTCCAAGAGTAGGAGTGGGAGTAGTTGAACGCGGAGGGCTGGGACGCCTAGATATTGGAGATGTAGCTCGAGAAACAATTCTTGATCCAGGAAGAGATGCAGCAAAGAACTTCTTTGAAGTTCCAAAGACGGGGTTAAAAGATTTAGAGATATTAAGAGCTCCCCGCTGAGAACCTCCACTAGGAATTGGCGAGACCCTACTGCTGCTAAATTCCAGTTTCTTGTTTTTCTTTGAAGATTGACTTCCCACTTGCTTAAATGATTCGACTGAAGCAAGCCTAGCAAGTTGAGCCTGTGATTTCACGTGCAACTTATCGTTTTTATTCACAAGTTCAGTCGATCCATGATTAATGCTTCCTCTTCTGCTCAGTGAAGATTGAGAAGAAGCGCCAATTTCAATAAATTTTTTTAGCTTATGATAGCAATTATCACAAACACGATAAGCTTTGTTGGGGTTTGGTGCCATTGAAGCCTTGAGAGACTTCTTACTGCTGCAAGAATGACAAAACACAAGACCACAGTTATAACAGTTGTGGCGTTTCCGTTTGAAGTTAAATGGTAGGCGGCAACCAGAACACATGGATTGATCAACGCCTGAAACCCACTTATGAAGGCAAATAGCTGCGGTAAAATTGGTGCCACAAGCAATACTTTTAACTTGCTTATCTTTAAGAGCCTCAACTAATGTCGGAGTATTTCTATCCTCGGTGCTGCCGTGACCTAAACGGCCATTCGCCCCCTTGCCCCATGTGAAAACCTCAGTTCTAGAAGTCAAAACAGCAACATGGTATGCACCACAAGCCAGCTCCTCCACAAAGCTTTTCGAGAGTTTTCCTTCAACACGTACTGGGAGCTTTCCATCTGCCTGAGGATTCCCTAGCTGACCATAAACAGGGCTTCCCATAGTGTACACATGGCCAGAGTTCGTAAGTGCAACAGTTAAACTATGTCCACAAGCAACTTGACAAAAGTTCGGTTCAACAAGGGCAGCAACACAAGTAGGCACAAGCTTTGCCTCTTTGTCACCATGCCCTAACCGACCTTTATCTCCATCTCCCCAAGTAAACAGCTTCACTGAAGAGTTGTTATGCGAACCTGGATTTCCAACCATAACTTCTACAATTGCAGCTGTATGCCAAACACCACAAGCAACTCGGACAGTACGTAGACCTTTGAGAGATTCCACTTCTCTAGGTATTGAAATACTGCCTCGATCTCCATGACCAAGAACACCAAATGTGCCATCACCAAAAGTAAATAATTTTCCAGCAGATGTCACCACTGCTGTATGCCAAGGTCCACAAGAGATAGATGATACATGTAGGCCCTGTAAGGGCCCAGTTACTCGTTTTGGAACCCAGTGGCTTACTTCTTTTCCATGCCCAAGAAGGCCAGAATTATAGGTGCCATCACCCCATGTATACAGATCACCAGAAAGTGTTACAGCACATGTATGATATTCACCACAAGCTACTAGCTCAATGTTTAAATTACTGAGGGCGTCAATAAGCTTTGGATGAGGAGCATCAGAATCTCCTCCATGCCCAAGCCTGCCTCCATATTCCTCGCCCCAGGAGAAAACTTCACCTTGCTTGGTTACCAAGGCAGCATGACGGTTACCACAGGCAATGTTTTGCACATCAAGTACTACTACAGACTCCAAGGCTTTTGGCAGCAAAGAATCCATTTTGCTATCAAAAGAACTTCCAACTCGACAAGTTCCACCACCAAGGACACCTTCACCAGTTCCTTCCCCCCAAATAAAAACATCCCCCAAGGCATCACAATCATCATGTCCTGAACCTTGGCTCGACGAGCTGACAGCACTAGATAGACTAACCCTAAAAGCATCCATTGGAACTGCTTTCATGTGGCCATGCATGCTATCTGAGCCTCCAGATGATAAAGAATGAACTGAACCACTAGCAGAATCTGAGTGGAAGAAACCTTTAGGAGGAATATTGTACAACATTACATCTGATAATGCCTTATCCAGACCATATTTTGGAGGACTTCCATAAGGACTGTGAAGTCTAATCTGCTCTCCAGCTTCCTGAAAATTTATGCAACGATGGATTGATTTAATTTGATTTGGAAACTCTGAGAAGTGGAATACTAAAGAAATATATACCTTTTGCACGCTGTCATTGCTGCTAAATGGTGAATGCAGGGGAGAACTTCTTTGTGTAAATGTTCTAGGACTGTTTATTTCAGACAGCATCCCATCACTCCGTGATTCAGTTCTCCACTTTCGATTATGGATACGTGAAATTAATGCTTTTAAGCCACTAAACCAGACCTCAGTTTCATCTTTATCCTTGCAT